GGTTGGAGGCGGTCACAGAACATTGGTCATGGAGTCAGGGTGGGACCATTGACTAAGTACGTAATTATTATTGGAAGCTACGGACTGAACATTTGACAGCCAGTTGGACTGAACAACATATTGCATGGCTTTTGGCTTTGTTATAAGAAGATCTTGCAAAATATATTTTGAAGAGCTTTATTCCTAGTCAGTGTGCTGTTTGTGTTCTTGTTGGCAAATCTTAAGGCTTCTCGAATTGGTAAAATTTCACGGATTTTGTTCCCCCTTATACTGTTTCAGTACTATCTATTAGCCGCATTATGACAAATTGACATAATGAAAAGACAACACATTTTCATTAGAAAAATGTAATGATCCATCACGATATTCGGGGTGGGGGGGGGAGGCGGTCACAGAACATTGGTCATGGAGTCAGGGTGGGACCATTGACTAAGTACGTAATTATTATTGGAAGCTACGGCAGCAACAGGCTAGGAGGGGTTGTGCCTTGTAAATAACATGGTCATGTAGGGACATTAAAGTTCTGTGGCGTTGAACACTTATGTATTAGACTTAATTGCACTATATTAATTATTATTGATTCACTTTGATTGACATTTATAATCATGCTATCGTATTACCGCAGAGACACATGAGAACAACACAGTCGAAACGTTTAACTGCTAACCTGAGAATCGGAACTAAAGTATCTAAGTTTATGCTAACCAGTATATCTGTTTTAATGTGATTTAACACGGGGATATTGGCACAGAAGTAAGTAAAATAAGGATGAATAATTGCATGCATATACGCCACGCTGATTATTTAGCTAATAATTTCATATAATTTATATCAATATTTAGATCGAATTGCATTTGCGCACAATATTATTTGTGACAATAAAATACGATAAACCAATATCCAGTCGTCTGGCGTTTAACGAGTATTGTCGATTCGACGAACCAAGTTCGTTATGGTATAAATGCAACCGCCAGGGACATTCCCCGTTGACACTGCGAATTTCAAATAATGAATACACACATACATACGCACATTCATAGACTTTATTTTCTCACTGGATGGTGGCATTTAGTCGTTCTAACGTGGATTTCATGCGACCTTTAATTGCCTAGGCAAGGCACTCAATGGTAGCCTATTAGTGCAGGCATTGAACTTGTTATTTTTGTTTTCTCATGATTGTGCCAATGGTTAATGCTCTTGGTGGCAAACCTGAAGGCTTCTCGAATTGGTAACATTTTACGGATTTTGTTTCCCCTTGTACTGTTCAGACAGCTTAGTTATTCAAAACATACTAAATATGCTCGTAACAACCATTGTTGGAACCAGGTGCGAGCGTCTAATGCCTTTTACGCCCTGCGTAGGGCTGCCTGCGACCGACAATGGGGTGGGCTCTTAGCGATTTGGATCTTCCTTTTTTCAGTACTATCCTTAAAAGTCATAAAAATAGGAACGCCATAGCGTACATGTCGTCTACTGTGTCTGAAACATAAATTAATGCAGATAAAGTACATGAAATGATCATTTTATTAGAATACAGTTAGGCTATTTGATAGCATACAAACATATAGGTTTTTGAATACTTTGATCAGTAGCTTCTGCGGAAAATCAGAGCTGGAATATATAGGTGCAGTATTGTAATATATCATCAGTGAAAGATGTTCAGTAATCCGTATGGACTGCACAATTCTTCACTTTAAACTCCATCAAATAATTCAAGTTTTGCAACATAGTTTGTATGAATAAATGTTATTATACTATTATACTTATTATATTATTATTATGTTATTATACTATTATACTATTATACTTTTAATGTTATTATACTGTTATTATACTGTTATTATTAGCCGATATCTCTTCGACAATTTCTTCATATTTCTGTTCTTAAAATGTTCAGATGGTTTAAGACATATTCAAAGTGGTCGAGGACCTGTATATACTAGTTTGTATGCATTTCATTTAGGACAGATAATCTCAACTGTTTTAGGGCAAGTTGACCATGACAGTCAACATGGTAATCGACGCTGCCCGAACCTCCAATCCGGGACGAAATGTCCAAAACCGACCACACCCAAAGACGACGCTTTCGCCATGGTGCTATCTACCAAACCATATAAGCTTTGGCTATTCTGAGGTGCTTATATGGTTCAGAGATGGTGCTTTTAGGAGTGGTCATTGGTAAGAGTGAAATGCCTAGCACTGATATTTCACAAGAAATTGACCATGCAATACTCATAGTCAAATGTCAATTTGTGACTTGCAACTTCGGATAAACAGCAGTGAACCTACATTACCTTTCTTCCTAAATCTTTTTTATAGAAACATAATTGGTGCTTATTTAATTATATTATCAAAAGTAGTTGTAAAGTAGTTAATATTTTGTGACCGAAATAGTAATTTGAAATGTACCTACCTCCTTCAAATGGACGTATTTGGCCAAATTCTCCACTTTACTCCGCTATTTATCGCCGATCTCGTTGAAATCCTTCCAAATATGCAATTCAGCTCAAACATAATGGTATCAAGCGCATGTTAAAATAGTTTTAACTGCGTTTGAAGTATATCTTAGCTTTTTAACCATCGACAAGGTAAAACCTCAACTTTGTGCAAATTCGGCGCCATTTTGTCATCCCGTTCGGTTGTCAACAATTCGGCCTCGTTATTCTTCCATCCAAGCCATCTCGATTGCACTAATAACAAATTTAACCTTTGTTAAGGGTATTAAAATAAAAATACAAATGAAATATGCGAAATGCAGGAGTTTATCACCCTGTAAGATGTTGCTTACGAGTCTTTCAAAACATTCCGTACAAATCTCGCGTGGCAAAGTAACAGGGCCGTGACTGGGGGGGGGGAATTTTTTCACGAAGATAGAAGAAGGCTGCGTGAAATAAACTAAAAACTAAATGCAATCATACAAACGTTTGTTCTATTTCTTGTAGCGACAAATAAATACATATTATTACCTGTAATATGAACATGTCATACAAATTAAATGTTGATTGTTGGTTTTAGCGTGCCTTTGCTTTTATTTTTGAAGTCTGCACCCCCATGTTACGTCCCCTATTACTTTACCACGCGAGATTTGCACGGATTTTGAAAGACTCGTAAGTAACATCTTACAGGGTAATAAAATCCTGCATTTCGCATATTTCATTTGTATTTTGATTTTAATACCCTTAACAAATGGTTAAATTTGTTATTAGTGCAATCGAAAAGGCTTGGATGGAAGAATAACAAGGCCGAATTGACGGAATTGTTGACAGCCGACATGGGATGACAAAATGGCGCCGAATTTGGACAAAGTTGAGGTTTTACCTAGGCCTTGCCGATGGTTAAACAACTAGGATCTACTTGAAGCCCAGTTAAAACTTGTTTAAAATGTGCTTGATACCATTATGTTTGAGCTGAATTGCATATTTGGAAGGATTTCAACGAGATCGGCGATAAATAGCGGAGTAAAGTGGAGAATTTGGCCAAATACGTCAATTTCCAGGAGGTAGGTACATTTCAAATTATTCTTTTGTTCGCAAAATATTAACTATTTTATACCAAAACAGTGATAATATAATTAAATATGTGCCAATTATGTTTCTATAGAAAAGATTTAAGAAAAAAGGTAATGTAGGTCCACTGCTGTTTATCTGACTTTTCAAGCCACTATTTGACGTTTGACTATGAGTATTGCATGGTCATTTTCTTGTGAAATATCAGTGCTTGGCATTTCATACTTACCAATGACCACCTCTAAAAGCACCATCTCTGAACCATATAAGCACCTCAGAATAGTCAAAGCTTTTATGGTTTGGTAGATAGCACTATGGCGAAAGCGTCGTTTTTGGGTGTGGTCAGTTTCGGACGTTTCGTCCCGGATTCCGGTTCGGGCAGCGTTACCATGTTGATCGTCATGGTCAACTTGCCTTAAAACAGTTGAGATTATCTGTCCTAAATGAAATGCATACAAACTCATATGCAGATCCTAGACTAACGCCATGGAGAGGTTTTTGTTTTGAAATGATATGACAAGTACTTGATAAACAGTAAGTTCCATTCCATGTGAAAACATTACAATGTCGTTGTTGTCAGTTTTCAAGTAGTGATTTTTACAAGACATGCAAATTGTGCACATTCTAATACTTCCAAGAAATTCACATGTGATTCAATTTAAATTTTAACATTTTCTTGACATGCATCAATTTTATAAATAGAGATTGCTCCACATCTTCTAAGATATCATTGGGCGTATATTGATTAACACCTAATATAAAAAGACTTGCTAACTAAAGTTTAACTGAAAATGTTATCCAGAGGTAATATCCGTAGTCTGTAGTCAGATTTCAAACTGGATAATTTAATAATAATTCTTTAAACTCAACAATCAAAGTAAAGTAAAAATGTAAAATGTCAATTAAGGACAAGCGATTTGCTAATTTTAATTCTGACACTCAGCTAATTTGAATCACGTGCGTTTTTCCAGACCGGAAGTAAAATATGGGACAGTGTTGTCACTCTCCTCCGCAGAGTCATATAGGATTGTAAGGATAATATTGGGATAGTAGAGGACATTTAGTGGTGCGCGACGGGGTGAGACCGTAGCTTCCGTCTTCCCATCATACCTAGCGCGTTTTGACTAACAGTTACGTAATTTTTTTCCCAAGTAATATTACGTAATTTTAGTAAAAATTCGTAAGGCTCTGCGGAGGAGAGTTGGGACAGTGTATAAACTGTGCCATATTTATTTCCAATCAGGAAAAATGCACGTGAAGCACCACGTACGAAGTCTAAAAATGAGCAATATTGTCAATATTGAGAAGACTTATTTTTATAATACACCTTTAATCACCCTAGTGTACGACAATCATTTACCCGACTGTGAAGCGAATATTGCCCGACTGGCCTTGTTTGCCCAACAAACTAGGGGCTGGGTGACGTTAATTGAAATTAAATCTTTTTGTGGCATCTGTCCCAAGACATTAGTGAAACTATTGTACGTTAACCTCAAATGCAAATTACACTGCATGGCCATTGTGTTGTGTTTGCTGAGATCAAAATTCACAGTCCTAGCTATTTTACAACCTAGTTAAAAAACCCTGTGAAAATGACAAGACTTGGCTAGGAACCGGGGGGCAGGGGGGCCAGGCCCCCCCAAGTTTTCCAAAGTGCCCCTTTTCCGGGAGCAAAGTGCCCTTTTCTTGCGTGAAAAATGTCATTAAGATTGCATTTTTGGTATGTCCGAAAAAAATATTTTGAGATGATCCCCCCCGTCGCCAACATTTCCGGGAAAAATTTTTTAGATGCGCTTTTTTATTCAAAAAGTGCCCCTCAAAGCCTGGCCCCCCAACTTTTAGAAGCTTCCTACGCCCCCGAACCTCACCCAAGAATGTGCCCGCCTCTCCCCACCCTTTTAATAACTGATGAGTGATGTGCATGTATTATTCTTGAATGAATGTTCCTCCACAAACAACAAAACCAGATTTTCTGTTTTCATTTCATGTCGTAGCATTCGTATAAGTTTCGTGTTCAAGTCGTCTTCGGCCAAGTGAAATATTTTGCATCTAGGGGCCCCATCTACGTTGTTTTGTTTCGTTAGCTCTATTTATTCCTCGTGTTTTTATCAAGTTATAGAAACGCGGATTTTTTTAGCTTTTGACCAATCAGCGTCCGTGTTTTTAAATTAAAAGGCTATTTTAAGTCCATTCTTTGAATACGTTAAAAAGTCAGGACTGGCGCGGGTAAATGCTGGATGCGGGTTACACGCGGAGCATGGGATTCTTCACAGTGGTCTTTTGTAATTGTATACAATAATGCTTTTAAATCCGGCTAATATCACGTAGATCTTTGCTGCGGTTTCTGAAGGCTTATTGGCTATCTAAGATCTGTATTTGCTGGATTTGAAAGCAGGTCAAGTCAGGAAAACTGCTTCAAACCTCTACACTTTACAGGGTACTATTATTGATGGTTGTCAGCGTAGAACTTGTCGCTGATTAAGTTGGGGACTCTCGGGTATGTGATTCTTTTGTCTGATTCTTATTATTCCCGATCTCGCTATATTTATTCTCGTTTTTATCCTCGTCGTCACTTTCGTGCCTTCCTAAATATTTAATATATATCGTCTTCTACTGTGTTTACAAGATACTGTTACTGTGTTCTAAAATATGAAAATAGATCACCTATAGATAAATAAATTAATGGTGTCAGTAGGAATTGTAATTGTATCCCCGTTCCACGTCGCTTCATACTGAACAGCACTCCATTCAGTTCAATCCCCGATTCAATCCAAGGATTCTCCGATTCGCCGTTCCCTTTATTAAATTTAGATAGCCGTGGACGTGGTCTATCAGTCAGATCAATATGACGTTTCGATCCTGAAAGGTTTTGATACAATCGTACTAGCATTTTGCCATTTTCTGATCTTGCATTTGATACTTAAGTTTATAGACAATTCTATTCACTTTAATTTGGTTATCGTGGAGACTATAAATGTATAAGAATGCTAAATGTAGGTAGTTGTTAATTTTTCGTATTGATTTCGAATTAGCCTGTGTTCCAGACTGTATTGCGCTTTATTGCGCTTATTTGTGAAAATTCATGACATATCTGAGTAAAAAGGTCAACAAAGTTACGACCCTTGTTGCATTTCATTTGTTCAATTGAATATCATATTGATCTGCAATACATTAGAGACATCGTTGCACCGAAAATTTAGTAGTTTGAAGCATCGAGAGAAGTAGGCCTAAAATTTACAATGAACATCAAGTGACAAGAAAATATTAGTTCGATTTTGAAGCTCGATATATTAAACCCGGCCAAACAGAAGCATTAAGCTCAGTATAATGGCCAATCAGAATCTACTACTCGGATCTTCGACAAGGTTACGACGGCCAGAATAAAATCATTCAAATAAACGATTGTAGAGAAAGCTTGTATATATAAATAAGACAATTATTGATCATATCAATTTAATACTGTTTGGTTAGCTTGAAATAGTGGATTTATTGTTTGAATTGTTGAGCAAATTTTACCGTGGACCCGTGGTATTGAGCTAATCAGCTGAGTATCACCTCTCGCGTCTTGTAAAGTGCAGGCGTTTTATCCAATAGGCAATACAATTATCCGTTGTACGTGTACGACGTCTTAAAGACTTTAACTCCCGTGGGATATTAATGAATAATAAATTCTATTTTTTCTTAAAGTTTTTTCTCAAGTCCGTTCTGCGCATCGGTTCTGTTCATAACAATGTGAGGACCCTCTAATGTGAACATTGCCCAAATTTCGAATGTTTCGAATTTTTCTGAACATAAACTCTATTTCATATTCATTTAGAAGCATAGCGAACCAAAATTGTGTTA